GGTATCGAAACCTGGATTCTATCGTTGTAAGTCCGCAGACATACCGCTGTGCCACTAGGGGCAAGTAAACATTGTATTGTTTGCTTGTTTGTAATTAAGCACAAAGCTACACAATGGGCTATCTGTGCTCTGCCCATCACGGGTATCGAAACCCGGTTTCTAGCGTCGTAAGTCTGCAGACATACCGTTGTGCCACTGGGGGGCGTATATATATATGCATTCTGGTGGCTCACCAGTATCACTCGTTGTTTAATGACAGACGATTCAAGTCTATGATACTATAAGCCTAACGATATTACGTTACATGGAATTTTAATAATGCGTTAATTATGCATTTTTGTCAATTCCTGGTCATTATCTCAGTGGATTCCTTTCCTTGTAAACAAAATATATTTTGAAATAAAATATGTTTTTAAACAAATAGTGGAGATATGCTTATCGACAGGTCAGAAAACTTACCATATTAAACACAGTAAGTACATACGTTGTAACATTTTCGGCGCCGTGTTTTTTTACCATATCTTTGTCTACAACGACAAGAGTTTCAACATTTCGTCGACGATTACGGTCAAGATTAAATTCTTCTGGCGAGTGCAGCGCCCTCTTTTGACGGGTTGGCTTAGGAAATTCGTCAGGTAACCAGTGTTGTTTCTTCTTTGGTTTGTGTGGCATGTCTAAAGAAATAAAACAAACAAGAGAGAATACTTGAAACATAAGCACTGTTAATTATGTGTTAAAACGATTGCTGGAAGACATCTCTGGACACTGAACTTTATGATTCCAAATAAGGTGATTAAATTAATACAAAAAATAATAAAAGTTAGTACAGTTGTTATATTTTTTTACGTGGCAAAAATTTATAAATAATAATAATAAAGTTATATTTTTATTTTAAATTATTACAGTATATTAATGATTTTTAATAAAATGATAAATTATATTTCAATTTTAAATCATTATGATTATATTTATAATTTTTATTGATAAATAATTACAAACAAATACATTAAGCCGCTTTAATGCTCTGGATTTTTTTAATATCACTACTGAAACTTATACACTGTTTACCGGTCATTATCTGGTTGTTATTCTTGTTAATCGTTGGGCTGTTTAAATTGCCATTATACGGAGCTTGGAATTAGATAACTGATAACCGCTGGACTGTTTACGTCGCCGTTATCTGGAGCTTGGAATGAGATAACTGATAAGCGCTGGACTGTTTACATCGCCGTTATCTGGAGCTTGGAATGAGATAACTGATAAGCGCTGGACTGTTTACATCGCCGTTATCTGGAGCTTGGAATACATAACTGATAAGCGCTGGACTGTTTACATCACCGTTATCTGGAGCTTGGAATGAGATAACTGATAAGCGCTGGACTGTTTAAATCACTATTATCTGGAGCTTTGGAGGACTATACTGATTAAATTCCAGTTTTATTTGTAAAAATCTGGTGTTTTACAAGGGCTTACTCATTATCTGCCTGAATGTTTCACAAGTTAATACCTGTAGATTTGGAGTTTTATACTAGTTAAGTGTCAGAATGTTTTACTTGCTATTATTTAGAGCTTTTTCAGTATTATATACTTGTTAATCGCCAGACTATCTTATTCACAATTAACTGAGGTTTTTGAGTGTTACATACGTTAACCATTGGATGCTTATTCGCTGTAGCTATGTTTATAGTTTCACGAACTTGCAGGTCTAACAACGAAATGTATTTCAAGAATGACGATTTTCTTAACTGTGAGGGTTTGAGTGAAGGTGGTATGGTAGGTCTTGTAATTACAATATTGTGGTCTGTTAGTTGCTTTTCTGTATATGTTAGTGCATTGAATGACATCTAAAAAAGATAGTGACATCAAAAAAGTTTATCAGCATGAATAAGAGAATAATTAAACTTAATGTTGACAGTTTTGTGAAAGGTTAGCGTAAGAAAGTTTTAAAGTGACTTAGCTCCAGGTTTACAAATAGATATGATATCATCAACGTAGCTTTTCCAAGTGTGAGGTTCTACAGTTTGTTTTCCTACAATAACCCTCAATATTTATTCCCCCCAAGTAGGTTAGCGGCAAGTTTCCAGACTTAAAACGCTAAAATCCGTGGTTCGATTCCCCGCTGTGTACCTACATAAAACTCGTTATGTAACTTTGCACTAAAAATCCAACAACAAAAACCTTGCAATAAATTTTAATTCCCAAGTTATTTTTAAATTAAAATTTCAAAATAATTACTCTAAATCTTTTCTCTACTTTTCCATGTATTTGTTTCGTATACTCCACTCTTTCTTTGGCCTTCTGCACGTTGAAAGCTCCTCTTGCACTCGCAAGATCACTTTCGAATCAAACCTAAATAATTCTGTATTGTAAGAGTGTACTATCTTTAACACTCATGACGTCATTGAAGATCATAGATAACAGTTCACACAGTGCTTCGGAGTTCCTTGTATGTTGATTCCATTAAGATGTTTTACGTAGTGAAAAGAGAAAGCTATCTATACACAATGAACTGATGCTATAAAATGTACGATTTCTTCTTATCTTTACCCTACTCGAGGTTTTTGTTTCTTTGTGCTCAGTTATTCACACCCGACTTCTTTCTTGTTTGTTTGTTATGGATTTCGCGGAGATGCTACACGAGGGCTATCTGCGTTAGCCGTCCCTAATTTAGTAGTGTAAGACTAGAGGGAAGGCAGCTAGTCATCACTACCCACCGCCAACTCTTGGGCTACTCTTTTTAGTCCAACGAATAGTGCGATTGACCGTAACATTATAACGCCCCCACGTCTGAAAGGGCAAGCACGTTTGGTGTGAAGGGGATTCGAACCCGCGACCCACACATTGACGAGTCGAGCGCCGTAACCATTTGGCCATGCCGGGCTAACTTCCTTCTTTCTTCTTTGTGTGAATTTTGTTATTATTTTAAGTTTGTATATTTTCATTTCAGCTTCTAGTTTAATGTGATAAAATAGCGTATGTTAATGTACGAAGAACAAGAAGACTGATATATTCAATTAAGAAAATGAAAATTATTAAAATTTTGCATCAAATGTGGAAAATAAGATAACTTTATAATAACAAAATGTTTCGAAAAACATATTTTTCAGCTGTTAGCTACAATTGTGACTGAGCGAAAACTACTCTCAGCATTTAAAACAGATCTTCTTTCATTGCCGTTTTTACTTTTGGCCTTGTCAGGAGAGTTTGTTTGACACATCCCATACGATTTATTTTCAGCTGTGTGAAATAAACAATCATGACGGAAAGAGAAATCGAAGAGTCGAAGAAAATTAGAACATTTCTATTCTATGTCGTTGTGGAAACTTGAGAACGAAATATGATAGGTTTAAATAAAAGATAAACTTTGTTGCTGAAAAATACTTTTGTTTTTCAATAGAGGAGCGCATTGACTCTGTATTACAGGTCTGGATTTCACAGTTGATTAGCCGATTCAAATCCGTGCGCACTGGGCCATGGCCAGGTGGTTAGGGCGCTCGACTCGCAATCTGAGGGTCGCGGGTTCGAATCCCCGTCACACCAAACATGATCGCCCTTTCAGCCGTTGGGGCGTTATAAAGTGACGGTCAATCCCACTATTCGTTGGTAAAAGAGTAGCCCAAGAGTTGGCGGTGGGTGGTGATGACTAGCTGCCTTTCCTCTAGTCTTACACTGCAAATTAGGTACGGCTAGCGCAGATAGCCCTCGTGTAGCTTTGCGCGAAATTCATAACAAACAAACATCGAATCCGTGCGATACCGCAAAATATTTCCCGCATTTTAAGCTGCGTGGACTGTGGATGACAGTGTGCTGCCAACTGGTCATCCTTCCTATCGTCAGTAGTTCCAAACTAAAAACGGCCATAAATACAACTTAACCGATATCTATTACTGAAACCGTTAGTAATAGGAACGTAAGATAACGTACACCTTCGCTTCCTGCCACAGTAGTAGGCCTGATGATGAACTGGATTTGTGTGGTTAAGTTCTTCTACTCCTCTTGAGAAGGCAACGTGATTCATTGTTGACCTTCGATACAACTTGTGTGACATTGGTGCTCCCTGTTGACCAGGTTCCATTTCTGATAATGGTTCAATTAGAAATTCTTCGTCATTTGTTTTGATCATGCCTCGCTAAAATAGACAGAAAATTATGTTTCAATATGTAAGTCAAAGAAAACCTCCTACAGCGTCTCAAAAATGTGTTTTCTTAAAATCCAGTTTAACTGAACTGACAAATATCGTATTTACCTACAGTGAAATTGAATTTCTTTTACGATTTCTTGAGGGAGTCAAATGGGAATTTTTTCATAATTAAAATATAACTTTTAAATTAATATAATACTAAAGCAATATTGTTCTACTGAATTAACACATATATAAAAATATCTATACAATACAATTTGTTTTGTTAATTCTTAATACTTTACGACAATATAAATCATTATGTTTGTTTGTTTGAAATTAAGCACAAAGCTACATAATGGGCTATCTGTGCTCTGCCCACCACGAGTATCGAAACCTGATTTCTAGTGTTGTAAATCAGCAGACATACCGCTGTGCCACTGGGGGGGGGGGGCAAATCATTGTGTATTGTAGATAAAAGTTTATTTTGCTATAAGCACCTGTTTATATGTTATTTTGTGTTTTCCGTCGTATTGTACAGGATAATTATGAAGAAAAACATATTTTGTAACAAGTAAGATTATTATTAAAATGTAATACAAATATACTAAGCGCTATCAAACTGAGAAATGCATGTTATATTAAACATCTACATATTTAATTTGTATAATAAGACAGGTTCTATGGACACCATGAACGATTTACTAGAACAGCAAACAATTTTATCAGACACCTCTAGAAAGATGTGTAATTCAGAATTTCACCTATTACAACAAAACTTTATCTCTATTGCTACTCGGTCATTTACTCAATAACTACCCCACGCACGTAGACAATAACATCAATATAGAACAGTATGCAAACATTTTGGCCAAGACTGTATATTTAAAATATTACATATCTTAAAAACTACTTGTCTTAGGAAAACTAGCTTTCAAGAGAGCCCACTGAGTATCGCCCCCCCTACCCCTAGTGGCACAGCGGTGTGTGTGTTACATATCTTAAAAACTACTTGTCTTAGGAAAACTAGCTTTCAAGAGAGGCTCACTGAGTATCGCCCCCCCCTACCCCTAGTGGCACAGCGGTGTGTGTTACATATCTTAAAAACTACTTGTCTTAGGAAAACTAACTTTCAAGAGAGGCCCACTGAGTATCGCCCCTACCCCCTAGTGGCACAGCGGTAAGTCTGCGGATTTATAAGTCTAGAAACCGGGTTTCGATACCCGTGATGGGTACGGCACAGATATTCCATTGTGTAGCTTTGTGCTTAACTACAAACATTGAGTATCCCAAGTTTTATTGAGCAAAATATGGACAGGGTATAGGATGAAACATAAGCTGTCACAGAAGGTGTTAAGTTTGCTTTTCTCGTCATTCGCAGTCAACATATGAAGCCTATTCCTAAAAGAGTAACTGCAAGTATAATCTGTTCTGGGAAGAATTCATCTACCTCACAATGGTCCACATTTTATTACGACTCATAATCTTGTATTCTTGAAGGAGAGAGAAAGAAAAACTCAATGATAGTTTGCGAAGAAAGACATTTGAGCATGTAAGATTATAATGTTGTAAAACACCATGTACGATGTCCAGACGTTCCTCACTAAAACCTATGATTCTCAAAGCGCTTTGGTGAAATGTTGTTTTCATAGGACAAATGTGAGTTTTTTTTTCTTGAAGTTATTCTATAAACCAACTTATTGGCACTCTATCAAATGAAAGATGGACGATATTATAAATCGCACCAAACTACTTCACAGCAGTAAATCTCGCCAAAAATACAACAATAAAACATTAAAATCAGCTTTGGACCCATTGCCCAACAGAGCAATGAGGTTTACAGACGATAAAAAAATTTGTGGCGGGAACTGGAATACATTCTACAATCCTCCAGTGGGATAGAAATAATTTTACAGAGCTACAATACTATAACCCGGAGTTCGATTCCCGCGGTGGACAGAGCATATATAGCCCATTGTGTAGCTTTCATGGTAAAACAGCAACGACATGTTCTACGTCTTGTAACAAAGTCCTTGAAATCGAAATATATAATGTCTGTAAAACACAGGAAGAAAAACCATAAGGTGCTCATGACCTCTAGGTTCCAACCTTAACCATCTCTCATGCTCTGTTGGCCATTAATAGAGATGTCATCAGCCTCTAAACTTGCAAACATTTTAAACTTACAATTACAAACTACGTTGTTGTGTTGTTGTTTTTAGTGCAAAGCTACAAAATGGTCTATCTGCACTTCGTCTATCGAGTAGAATCGGACCCCAAATTTTAGCGTTGTAAGTTCGTAATCTTACCGTTGACTCACAGGAGGACTACATAATGTGAAGAAACAGCTTTTAATTTCAACGTAGTGCCAGTATAGCCCCATCCTACTGGTATAAACCGTATATTTGGGGTTGTTGAATAGTATACAAAAAAAAATTAGAGTTGAGATTAATAACAACTGACATTTATTGGTTTGAGATACATTGCATGTTTTTGAATTTTTTCAATCTTGTACCTGGCCTTGATCATATGAGAAAATCCAAAGTTAATTTTTGAGAGACAAATTTCATATCCAGGTCTGCCCTTGGTGAAAGTCCGACAGATCCGGTGAAAGTCTACAAGTAAAAGTGAACTCTCAGTCCATAATGGCCTTTATTTTTGAAGCTCTTTTAATGTACATTAAATGTCTTATCTTCAAAGTTTTGCAAGTTATTTTAAGGAGACTACACTTCTCTGTCTTTTTTCTCTTGAAAACGCCTATAAATTTGCTAAAATGAGCAAAATGTCTGCGAAGATTTTCAGTAGCCTTCATTTTCTAAGAAAAGTGTTTTAAGACAGGGGAAATGGATCGGAAGTGAGGAGGCGTAGCAGTCAAATCGAGAAACTTGGCAGAAATGACAAAGCAGTTGCGTCATTTCTAGTTCAAACAGCCCATTTCACAGTAGAGATGTGTTCAAGATTTCTACTGTCTGAATTTTGTACATTTAATGCATTTAATTTAATAATAATCTCGAATTTTGCTTCTACGGAAAACTGTATTCTATATCAAGAAGTAAGAAATATCCTAAAAAATATATTAATCGTGAAACACTTCTCTAATTTAGGCTTAAGCGCTTATTCTAACCCTAGTATAAACCGGAAGTTAAATGGTGTGAATCAGAAAAGAGCGGGAAGCTTAAACAACAACAATATCTTTATTCTCCGCATTGTAGCTGGATATTTTATTACTGTATATTTTGGTTATGTTGGTGAGTTTCGTTCAACCTCAACTATTTACAATAGCTACTGCAGTAACGATATGAGGTTATTATATAAAATATTTATATGTTTCAATATATGGGAACGTTTAATATTAATTTGGTTTGCTTTTGGAGTACTAAGTTAGCATGGCAAGGTTAACATGGGTCGGTCAACTTGTTTAGGAGTAGATGCGTTCACAGACAGACAGACAGAAAGTTTTCCTTCATATTGGACAGTTATCACATCGGTATGGCTTAATATGTATAGCACATATGTCAAGAACCTGTACTTCAATTTCTATACTCAGCTTTGCCTCGTTTCGCTCGCCAGAGCTGGATAATTAAAACATTTTCAGAGTTAAAACTTAATAGCTTTTTATGTAAATAGCAGGACTATATAGTATATTTACGTTCGCCTTTTGTTTACATCAGTTGAAATGAGTGCGCGCGCATGCGCATTTAAATAGAAAGGCACGCGCGTATTTTCAGGGCAGACAAAAACTGAGTATTATTACAATATATTCTACTTTCCTAACACATGGCGCCAGAAAACGTTTCACAGAATGTGTTCAATATAATAATGATATTAAGCACAGAAAAGTTCATATTTTTTAGGCCGTTAGCCTCGGGTCATGATATACACTTCTGGTTCTTTTTTTTTCTTGCTACTGAGCTCGGAGAAAAAAGCGTGTGTAATTTTCTTGCCCTTAAGTATGCAGACATATCTTTGATATAGCAACATTGCACGCATACGTGACCTTATTTCTTTGCATAAGTCGTTTTAATCAGAACAATCCACCGCCGCATGAATAGTTGACAAATTACTTTAAAGTGGGTCTATCTTTAAACTGTTTTTATCTAGGTTGCTATTGCTTAAGATATTCAAGTAAGCTCGACTTATTATCTAAAACAATCTACCGACAAAAAACACGACTTTTTTTAAATTTACAAATTTGCTTAAATCTAGACATGCTAAAGAAAAAAATCAACAACACTAAATCTAATGTTAAAAAAAGAACTACATAAAAATAGTATATTAAACAAAATAATATGGACAGGAAGCAAACAAAAAAAAACATCACCACCAATACCAAGTAATTACGTAGCGTTGTAATAAGAAGTATGGGTAGTTAATTTATGATAAACAAACAGGCTGAGTTAGATTTGTACAAATTACTGTTTTTATTTTTTTCTTGTAATACTCTTATTTATAGATAATGAAAAAATTATTAACCACTTCTCGCCGCAATTTAGTAAAAGTACATAAAGATTTTTGTTAGTAATTCTAATCATTTTTGGAAGAGGGTTTCGTTGTTATTACGGTGGACAGATGTTTAAAACTGTGATTCTGTAACTCTTCTAGATCATGATAATGAAATACACTTAGAGAGTAGTTTTACTATATATCTTGCCCTCCAATGACACAGCGGTATGTCTGCGGACTTACAACGCTAAAAACCGGGTTTCGATACCCGTGGTGGGCAGAGCACAGATAGCCCATTGTGTAGCTTAACTTCAAACAACAACTATATATCAAACGATACCATTTAGAATAATTAATTCAAATACAATAACATCAACTTTTACAGTGGGTAAGCTTTTATTTTAATAATTAGAACATGTTTACTGTAAAAGTTTCTGTTATTGTATTTTTGAATTAATTATTCAGTTACAGTGGTTTTTACATTAATCTGAGTCGATTAATTTGTTACAGTAAGTTTAGAATATATTAAACAGACAATCTTGCCCATAATAGTATAATCCACGACTAGTTAATTGTATAGAATTAAAACCATTATTACCATCTACAGCAGTTTTTGCAATATGCATTTATATTATAAAACAACACTGCTTAGAGCAGTTTTATGATAATATATTAAAGTTGTGCACAGTAGTTTTTAGAATAACCTAAAACAAATTTAGTTGCATACATAATCAAACTTCTACTTGATAAGTTAGTTGAATCAGTGGCTTCGCAGTAAGCCTGAAGGCTTGTAACACTAAAAACATGGTTTAAATTTGCTCTTAACTACAAAGAAACATCATAAATCATCAAAGTAGTGCTTCATACAGTAGTTTGGTACATTACAAAAAAATGTAGAAATTATGATAAAGTTATATTTTTATTATAAATTATTACAGTTATGTGAATAGATTTTAATAAAATGATACATTTATGTTTCAATTTTAAGTCATTAAAATTATAATTTTTATTAATAAATAATTATAAACAAATACGTCAATCCGCTTTAAAGCTCTTGATTTTTTAATATCACTACTGAGTGTTATGAACTGTTTCGCGGTCATTATCTGGTTGTTACACTTGTTAACCGTTGGACTGTTAATACACATTAGACTTATGATGTGTGTAATTAAATCAAAAGAGCTGCTTACATAATTTAAAAATACCTAACAATATCATAATGATTTTTTTTATGTTCGTAACTGTATCCTTCAGTTTAACGAAAGCTTCTTAATTATTTCTGAAAAGTAATTGAAATGAAACTGAATTTGTTAGATAAGATATTTATTTCCTTCCATTAATTATAAATACAATTTAGAAATGATCGTTTATAAAAGTTATTTTTAAGAGATAAAATGTTTAATTTATAAACGTACCCATTGATATTAAACTTTTAGAAAGTTATTTAAAATAACTATATCTTACACCACTAGATGGCGAGCTTTCCCGCTAATTTGTAAAGAAACTATTTAAAACCCAACAGTTTTCTACTCATTATAAAGCTTTGATCTATTAACACCTGGCTGAAAACTATCCAAGTGGATGTAAAATAAAAATTATAATATTTTTGCGTAAAGTAACGATACCGAGAGTGGTTTAATAGGTGGTTGGTTTTGAAATTCCATGGTCTTTCCTAAACCGTGCACTACATATTATACATACTAGATGCTTTGCCAGTCTTTGTTTTTATCACAATATAATAGGCGGACGTTACTATAACTTCAACTTTTGTATAATATTGAAAAACTACAAACCATTCCGTACTTAGCAGAAATTTAGAGACTTTTTCATAAATCACTTTATAAAGTATAAGCATTCTAATCATTCTAAAACGATAAATAATTTCCTACCTACCAGACCTTTACAAACATTGAGTGCTACTGTTGATGCCGCTTCCTGGTGCTTCACTAACCCAGAATACAAACAGTTTCTGATTTCTCTACCAGGTGTCTCTATAGACGTCTTGTTGGGCTGTCCATCTTTGTGACGTCTGTAAACCTTGAAGAGTGGACCTAAAAATTTAGTTGAGTGGGATAAAAGAAGGTTGAATTGTTTACCAAACCCTTCGATGAAGTAAAAAAGTTTGGGCGGAAAATGTTTTGTTTGACGTTTTGTTCTTAAGAGACCATTTAAAGCTGGCTGTAGAGGGCGCAAATTATGGCTGATGTAATTTCCGCTTTCATCAGTCCGTACTGGAATTACTATTTCTTGGTCTACTGAAAGAAAGAAATTAGTTATCAATGTATCATTTTTAATGGGCCGTTACTAAAAAAAAAATTCTGTCATACTTTAAAAATTAGGTTGGAGAAAATAAAATAAAAAACACCTTTAGACTAATAATAAAGATGTCAGATACATCTTGAAATAATGAAGAAATAAAAAAATATTAAGTCATAAAATATTTTATCATAATCATACCTAACTATTGACAGAGTTGCTGATTGATCTGCATAGTTTGTAATTTTTTAGCTAATGTACTTCAAATAGTGGAATAAATACAGACTATTAGATATGTTAGGAGTGTCATACCATCTTTTATATCATTGATAACCTGCAGTTTGTACTTGTAAAATAATGAACTATATACAACATACGATTGATAACCTGCAGTTTATACTTGTAAAATAATGAACTATATACAACATACGATTGATCGTATGTTGTATATAGTTCATTATTTTACAAGTACAAACTGCAGGTTCAGGTTATCAATTAGTTTATACTTGTAAAATAATGAACTATATACAACATACGTAACATAAGAAGATATAAATCGTTCCATATAATAATTACAATCTTAAACACAGTGTGATATGTACAACTTTCGAAATGTTTATTTCGTAATCTTGACTCATATAGAAAGGATATTTTCGAAAAACAATATGTTAAATAATATCTTACCCAAAGAGTTTCCCTTAATGGTCTCCAAATAATTTTGAGATAATTTTCTTTCTTTTTCAGTTACCTGAAAGATAAATAAAACACAAAGAGGGCTGAATATGTTATGTTCAAACGATTTTGAATACGCAAATCAGCAAGTCGCGTGACAGCCACAGCCAATATAAAGTCCAGTGGAACTGTATTTATCAGAAATACATTTTGACATTGTTTAACGTTCTGTAAATAGTGTGATACCACTGAAAATTGGCCGCTTTTAGAAAAGATATGTAACAACACTTTCCGAAGAAAAACACTCATACATCAAGATAATAAAAAGACAGGTATATCCTTTTTACTTAATAACATTGGAAAACAAAGTAATATGGATGAACTTGGGGTATCGGGGACCATTCAGCCGAGGTAGAGAACGCACACGGCGCCTAGTAACAGGTGAGAATCCACGAACACAAAGGTCAGTGGCAAAAGCCTTCGACGTGCCTCCAGGCAACAGTATGCAACATAATCAAGAAGGATCCGTTTGCTTCTACGAGAAGTCTGTTATATTTAGAATCTATACAATCTTATTTATATTTTATCAAAATTGACATTATTGGTAAGGAGTGAATACTTTTGCAAAGCACTGTAGACTCTTGTACTGCAGGTACATAAGAATATTGTGAAATGTTTGTTGTTCATCCAGTCTTAAATGTTCTGAAATAGCTCCAAAATTTCAAGAAATTCAATACTGTTTACATTTAATATTCTAAAAGTTTAATTTCGTCTTAAAAATTTGAAATTATATAAATTGTGATTTAATTTTTTTAAATTTTGTGGTTATATTTCCACAAGTTTTAGTTAATAATACATGTTCCCCCCACGTCTTACTATTTATTTTGCACATCTAAATGAAAGTTTAGTCAAGACAGTAGTGTGAAAAGCGGGGAACTGTGGAATGTATCCAGGGGGAAGAGTTATCAGCACAAGAAGAACTTACATAGCGGTGGGACTAGAGTTTATGATATATCAAACTTAAACGTTATTTGCCAGCCTCTTGGGTGGAATGTTCTAAAAACACTTATTCCAAAATAAGGATCAGATGTGGGTGCTTAAGCCTACAATGCCCCACATTCGAGAGTCTTCTTCAACCAGTCAAGCTGTGAGAAGGTAGCTACTCCTACTGGAGCCGAATGGATATAAAAAGAAATGTGTAATGAGCAAATTAGCGATAATAAATGTCATATAGATTAACTTAATAATTTGTATAAATATATAACACAACAGTCATGTAACATTTAACACCGTAAGGTAAGCAAAAGCCATACAACTGAAGAGCATTTTTCATTCTTTCGTCTGTGTTTAATAACTCTTTTTACTAATGTTCATTAACTGTACGTTTTTTTTAAATAAGGAATTATATTCTCTTCCATTATATGGATTTAATCTGCAATAGCGTGAACGGAACGAGACAGTAGCGGAACTCCAATACAACACTTGGTTTATATATTGTTAATATTATGGATATCGTTAATCATTTATATACTGTTGGTGTTTTCCAGAGCTATGGTCATACTATTTAACTTTACCTTTACGTGAATAGTCGAGAAAGGAAGTTTTCAGCAACATCAGCTCTCAATAACTCGAGTAAGTGGCTGACAAAAAATATTATCGATACAGGAACTTTACGCTATTTTATAGGTAGAACTGGCTTGATGTGGCACTACTTATATACACATCTTTTATAGGTAGAACTGGCTTGATGTGGCACTACTTATATATACATCTTTTATAGGTAGAACTGGCTTGATGTGGCACTACTTATATATACATCTTTTATAGGTAGAATTGGCTTGATGTGGCACTACTTATGTACACATCTTTTATAGGTAGAATGGCTTGATGTGGCACTACTTATATATACATCTTGTATAGGTAGAACTGGCTTGATGTGGCACTACTTATGTACACATCTTTTATAGGTAGAACTGGCTTGATGTGGCACTACTTATATACACACATCTTTTATAGGTAGAACTGGCTTGATGTGGCACTACTTATACACACATCTTTTATAAGTACGATTGGCTTAATGTGGCACTACATATATTTACACATCCCTGACACTTTGGTAAACAAAAACTATAAAGGTGCGTGAATTACAAAAATATAATATTTAATTGCCGTTTTTATATTTAATGATGTTATTTTATTCGTTTTGTCATTAAATCTTGAGATATAAATAAATAAAGAGTGAAGAAGAAGAAGCCTTGTTTTAATACATAAATATACCATGCTTGTTAGATATTATTTATTAGTTTAGCTATGCTTATTGTTTGTAGCAAAGCAACGCACGATTCTGGTAATTACATAAGTGACACAGCTGTAACATTTCAGTTCTTTAAAATAATTTTTTTTACCAACAGTTGTTGAAACGTTTGGTTCAAATATCACGGCTTTGTAACCTTAAAATTGCCCCTCAACTGTAAATACAGAAAGACAAAGACATTCAAAATTACAAATATCAAGTGAGTGGGAATTCCGAGATAGATATATAAAGCTATCCTAAAATTGTGAGTTTTTATTTTAATTGTATTTAAATTTAGGGTAGCGATTAGTCACATTATGTGTTTATAGAAATACTAAGAGTAATTTGTCTTATGTAAGTTATTTATCATCTCCAAACTTTTTCCTTTGTCGGTTTTAGAATCGTCTCTGTTTATACCAGTATAACTGAAATGTTGATGGTCATATAAATCTGATTTCCGTTATTTGATTAAATATCTTCCAGTTTTTCACATTTATTGTAAGTCTTATGGTTTCATTAATTAAAAAAATGCCACATCAAACAGAACGGCCAGGTCAGTTGTTTCCGGTCGCGGGTTCGAATCCGCATCTCACCAAACATGCTCGCCCTTTCAG